GTGCAATGAGCATCACCGGCATCATAAGCATCAGCAACAGCATCATCATCATGATCATCATCATCATCATCAGCAGCAGCAGCAGCATCACCAGCAGCAGCAGTATCGACAGCATCATGATCAGCACACTCATCATCAGCAGCAACATCATCATCGTCATCAGCAACAGCATCATGAACAGCATCATCATCAGCAGCATCAGCATCACCACCATCATCATCATCATCAACATCATCATCAGCATAAGCAGCATCATCATCAACCTGATCATGATCATCAGCATTATCATTAGCAGCAGCAGCAACAGCAGCATCTGCATAATCGTCAGCATCAGCATCATCGTCAGCAGCAGCATCACCAGCATCAGCATCATCATCAGCAGCATAAGCATCATCAGCAGCATCATCATCCTCGTCTCTTCTCCTCCGTATACCACCTTATATCCCTCTTCCTGCGCCTCTCTCAACCTCATCCTCCTCCTCATCCACCTCATTGCCCTCCTCGTTCTACTCCTGCTATCAATTATGCGCTCCCTGTTGTTGCCCATCCTCGCCCTGCCCATGATCTTCTTCCGTTGCCTCCTCACTTCCTCCTCCCCTCTTCCACCTTCTCCTCCTCATCCTCCTCCTCCTCCTCCTCCTCCTCCTCCTCCTCCTCCTCCTCCTCCTCCTCCCCCCTCCCCCCCTCCCCCTCCCCTCCTCCTCCTCCCCCTCCTCCTCCTCCTCCTCCTCCTCCCCCACCTCCTCCCCCTCCTTCTCCTCCTCCTCCTGCTCCTCCTCCTCGAGGCCTCGAAGCTGCGGGCCACAGATACCGTCAGAGCGGCGCTGCTCCACTCTTCCTTCTCGCCCCCCTCCCTCCCTCCAATACCCCCCCCTTCCCCTCGATGGCCTGGGTCGATGCCGCCTCGCGGGCAGCGGCACGAATGCCGTCGAGTCGATCGGATCATGGGCAGATCCCCGCTCCGCTCATCGGCACCTCGCGCCCGACGTCGGCGCTGCGGCCCCCGCGTCGCCCGACACTGGGGGGCAGAGCCCCCCTGCAGCTCCGGAGGCGCAGGACACGGCACAAACACAGTTGGGCCAGCCTCCTCCCGAAGAGTAGCCGAGGTCTTGCCTCTGCTGGCGTCCGCTGGTCTTCCGCCGAGGAAGAGAAGGCCGACGACGGCAGGAAGGAGGCAGCATCGGGCGGAGACAATGCGGCACCCCTGAGAGTCGGGGAGGATGAGGAGGAGCCGAAGGAGGAGGAAGAGGAGGAGGAGGAGGAGGAGGAGTGGGTCTTGAACAGGTGTCGTCGCCGCGACCGTCCCAGGTCGCACCAGAACGCCCTGGGGGAGTGCCGCGGGGCGCTGGAGCGACTTGCCTTCCTGGGCCTGCCTGTAACTGCTGGCTCCCCCGACCCGGACACCCCCGACGTTGAGCGGGTTCACATGCAGCGCGGACCCCCAGGAGGTCTCGACCTCTTCCCCGCAGCTGGCTCTCCAGACGCTCACGCCGCGCCGTCTCCGAGGGAGGCCGAGCAAGAGCCAGAAACCAGCAGACAAACGCTTCAGAGCAAGCGAGGGGAGCAAAGAGGGCGTGACTGGAGCGTGTCGCTCACCCTCGGAGATGAAGGAACAGGCACCTGCAGAAACATAGTGTTTCGGAAGTCCGAGAGGATGTCTCGGATCGGCACTGAGCCCCCTCCATGGCTCGCGGAACGTGCCAGGGGCGGCGCCATAGGCGCCGCCAGGGAGGCTCAGAGCCGACGCATCCCCAGTTCCACGAGCAGCTCCACGCCCAACCAACGGGCCCACCTGCGCACAACTAACATGTGCACCGGCCAGGGTGTGCAGGCAGCGTCTCGGCCAAAATATCATGCTTATGCAGTTCGTTGCCTTTCGGAGGTCCGTGCTGCCGCGGGGGCTGACGCTGCGCGTGGGGTGCCACGCTTCTGGGGCCCGTGCGGCCCCGACGGTGCCACCTCCCCTCCGGGCCCGGCACCAGCACGGGCCCCATGGGGGCCGCGGGGGGCCCCGAGGGAACCTCTGCCCGAGGTGGCGCTGGAGCTGAGGCCGTGGGGGCCCGCCCCCCGGCGCGTCCGGGCGAGACGCAGGCAGCAGGGGGGCAGCGCCACGAAGGGGCGGCCTCCAGCTTCTCCCCGGGCGCTGGGCCGTCGTGCAGGGCCTCGTGGTGGGCGAGGACCTGCGGGGCGCGGGCGCGGGCGCGGAATCGCTGCGGCAGAGATGCCGCCAGGGCCGCGCGCGCGCGCGAAGGCGGAGCCCACGGCCCAGAAGTCTGCGTCGACCAAGGGGGGCTCCCGACCTTCCCCCATGTCCTCCCTCCTGGGCAAGGGGGGAGCGGGAGGGAAAGAAGGCGGGGGAGAGTCGTGGTCGCGTTCGGAACGGGTCTGGTCCGCTCGAAGGGGTCTAAAGCCCGAGGTTAAAAGACGAGGCACGACGCCGGCGAGCGACGACGCGACGGCGCGATCGGCACGGGGGACAGAAAGGGGAGCGGAGGGCGACGGGCGGGGAAGGCAGGGCGAGGACGTGGGAGAGAGGGGGAGAGAGAGCAGAGAGTGAGGGGGGAAGCCAGGTGCTCTCGCACCATATCTGACATCCTACCACTTCCGCCCGTCCCTTCCCATTGCGCCGACTTGTCTCTATCCTCCGACGGGTGCCGTGGCGGACCTGGAATCCCCAGATGATCCCTCTCATCTCGTGTTATCCGCAAGCATGAAGGGACGCGGTGCGTTGTGGAGGATGTGGAGTCGCAGTCACTGAGGGAGCGGGGGGAGATCCAACCACCACCAGCAGCAGAGAGCAAGGGAGGACGTCCAGAATCTGGACGTCCCGCGATCATCGCTCGTATCAGGCGCAGCTGCCTCGTTGGAGGAGGGGGGACGAGAAGGGGGGACAGAAGAAAGGCGGAAGGGAGGGCGGAGGGCGGCACAGGGGCCCAGGAGGAAAAGTCTCACCCCACCCGCGCGCAAGAGCTGGGTGACCCCGAGGCCTCAGACGCTCTGGTCATCTGTGCCTCAACTCTTCGGGCTCTGGGGCGCTCGCCTCCGGCATCCGTGCGGGCTTCGCGCTGCGTGGAGGCCCACAGAACGGGCCCCCAGAGACCAGACTGCCGAAAAGAGAACCAACAAAAAGGCATCACCATAAACTGGTGGAGGTCCGCGCGGATTGCGTGGATCGGCGGAGGGTCCCCCTGGCGGCGCATCTGGCGCCAACACTACTGCGCCCCGCGCGCCAGGGGAGGAGGGCCCATGGCGGATCCAAAAAATCCGCGCGGACCTCCGAAATGAAATGCCGTTCTTTCTCCGCCGGAAAATCGCAAGCTTGCCGCTATCTGTTAGGGCGGGCTGTGTGCAGCGGAGCACGTTGGGCAGCAGCCTCGTCGGGGGCCCCTTAGCCCTTGGCCCTGCCTGCATGCTTGCATGCCTGCGCGGGTTTCATTCGTGCCCTCCCCTTGCCTCACCCTGTTCCTCCCTCCCTGCCTGCCTGTTCCTCCTGCCTGTTCCTCCTGCCTGTTCCTCCTGCTCCTGCTCCTGCTCCTGCTCCTGCTCCTGCTCCTGCTCCTGCTCCTGCTCCTGCTCCTGCTCCTGCTCCTGCTCCTCCTCCTCCTCCTCCTCCTCCTCCTCCTCCTCCTCCTCCTCCTCCTCCTCCTCCTCCTCCTCCTCCTCCTCCTCCTCCTCCTCCTCCTCCTCCTCTCAATCTCCCCCATCCTCCCTCCCTCCCTGCCCCGTCAGCCTCCCGTGCCTAGCGCCCTCCCTCCCTCCCCATTCGCCCCTCCCCTGACCATCCCCACCCTCACTTCGCCCCTTCCCTCCATTGCCCCCTCCCCCGACACCCAGACACACGGTCACCTCAGCGCGCACACACGCGCACGCACACGCACAAGCACTCGCACCGATGTGCAGCAAGAGGCGGTATTGAACCCCACACAGGGCCTGCTGCCACTCAGGGGTTTGCGCACAGTCCAAGACGCCACAGACCACCCGACGATAGTGCCTCCGTTTGGTGGCGCGCAGAGGGAGGTAGGGGGAGTGAGGAAGGCTTCTTAGAAGGAGGAAGGTGTCGGCCCTACATCTACAGACAAGGCCCGCGCCTTCTAACAAGCAGGGGCGATTCTCAGAAGCCTTCCCCCCTCCCCGTACCCCCCTGTGCGTGGCCGAACCGCCACATCCGCCAGCACCTTGGGGCTGTCCTGGGCCCCCTCGGAGCCCACACTGGGCCCACCTCGGGGCCCGGGAGGCAGCCCACCGGAGCCCGCGGGATCGAGGATCCAGACGAGAATGTATGAGCCCACAGGCTGGAACACTCTGGTCGGGCACGCCAGTCCCGGACATCCACCCCCGCCCTCCACCGCCCCCCGCCCACACGGGAGGGGGCGAAAGGTGGGCCAGGTTGTGGGATGGAAGGGACCGATGGAGGAAAAAGAAGGGAGATGGGGTCCACCTCCTCCTAGCCCGTCGCTGCACTGGTCCAGTCTCGATGATCCGCAGAACGCGATGGCGCCAACGTGTGCTCGTCCGCAAGAGCCCTTCAAGACGACGCAGCCGATGCAACGAGGGCCGAAAAGGGTAAACGCGAACTTCGATGACACGTGTTCTGAGGATCATCGACGATCCTCATCCCCCCTATACCCCCTCTTCCACGGCCATCCCCCCGAGGTTCCTAGGATGTCGAGAGGTCTCTGGGGGTATCCCCAAGGCCCTCTGGTCCCCAGAGGTCTCCAGTCCTCCAGATTATCCCGACGACCGCTGGAGGCCCCCAGAATCCTCAAGATACACAGAACGTATGACGACACGAAAAACCTTCCTTTACCCTCGATCCACGAACCTCAAGGATCAAGGACGTCGGCAATCTTCCACCCCATTCCACCCTCATCCACAGAAGGGAGGGCGATAAGAGGGACGAGGAAGGACCAACCAGACTGTGCAGGCGGGCATGATGGCTACGTCAAGGTGCAATAGAGTCAGCAAACATCCGCGCAGAATGGCCGCCCAGCCCACCCTGCTTTCGATCACTGCAACATTACCACAGTCTGTCGGTCAGAGAAGCTAGAGCACGCTGACACGCCCTGCTGACACTCCTCCGACTCAGGGGCTCGACATACGCCTCCTGTGCATACAGGAATTCAGCAGAGACAAAAAAAAAACTGCGCACTGCACAGCGCTGAGGCCACAAACCGCCGAATCGAGCAGCCCGTAGACCGCCATTGAGGCAAGTGGAAAGAAAACACGGGGGAGCGACGTATCGCGAGCAGCCCCCCCCATTGGGGAGGCATTGAGGACCACCAGTGCCTCCCCAGGATCCACACAGTCCGCGGAAAAATGGCATGTAACGAGTCTCACGTCCAGCATCGAGGAGCACGACGAGCGCAAGTGGTGCTATTCCTGCGCAGTTGCCGCAGAGAACACTGAATCGCCAGTCCGTCAAGAGCACGTGCGGGCACCAAATGCCGATATTGCCTGATGGCTGGAACGATAGGGCACAAATGAAAAGATCGCCGAGACATGTACGGTAGGTTCGTGCGTCGGCACGCGCGAAGGTGTTTGACACCGCATCAACCTCCGAGCCCAAGGTGGCCCTTGCTTCAGCGTCCTGGCTGCAGTGATCTGCAGGGTGCAGGGCTCCAGAGGCGCTGGTCCACAGATGCCGAGACACCCACGAGAATCACGCGTCGACGTGGGCCCCCCGCTCCATACTCGTCATGCTTACGCATCGTTCGTGCGAATTGGACCGGCAGCCAACGGATGTGTGGACAAGTTGGTGCAGGTGCGCAGTCCCTACTGAGGGGGGGGCGCGGATGGCGGAGGCATGAGGGCACAAAGGCGGCGTGCAGAAGGTGATTCTAATCGGCGGTAGACAAACCTCCTTTTAGTAAACCACCCTTTATCGAAAACGGCGGCCTGGGACCGAAAGCGACGGTCATGGACCCGCAAAAATGACGGCCGCGACGCCCTCTCGCGAACCGAAAACGACCAATTCGCTTATCGACGTGTCAGCGTAGGAGGTCTATCAACCTCCGATCTAAGGAGGCAGGGGGTTTCTTCGAAGCCCTCCTGTTCTGCTGAGAGAGAGGCTTAGAATACACCACCACGTGTGCACCCGACCCCTGCAGGCCAGACTCCTGCAACGCCGGCTGGGGTGCAGAACCCGACGCAAATCTGCAGCTAGATGAGCTCCAGCGGGGGGTGACCGATCCCCCGGCCTCGGTCGAACCCGCGGGGCAGGGGTCGCAACTGGCTTGGTCGCCCAGGAGATAGAAGCATCCGACCCCCTCTCTGAGTATCGTTTCACCGATCCCCATCCCCAGCGGCGTGGCCTGGGCCCCACTGGCCGAGTTACCCCACTTAGATGGGGATATAGGCCGTACCCTTCGGGCTTCGATGCGTGTATCCCCAACTGGGGGGGTCCTTTGGTGGGGGTCTCGAAGAGGATGGGGATGGGGATGGGGGTCGGCAGCCCCCAGGCCGACTGGAAGGCGGCCCCCCCCCCCACCACCTCGTGCGCGCGGCCGAGCGGTGGAGGCCATGAGATCCAGACGTGCCGGGAGCAGGCGAGAAGCCAGCAACCACGGCCGCCCCGGGTCCTGCTGTGTGAGGGGCAACGATAGGGGGAAATAGGGATACGGGGGGGGAACATCGAACTGGAATCGGCGATACATCGCCGATAGATCGGCGATAGGGCCCCGATAGTGAGTCCGCACCGTCATCGTCATCATCATCATCATCATCATCATCATCATCATCATCATCATCATCATCATCATCATCATCATCATCATCAGCAGCAGCAGCAGCAGCATCAGCAGCAGCATCATCATTATCATCAATCAATCACTCACTCACTCACTCACTCACTCACTCACACACTCACTCACTCACTCAATCAATCACTCATTCGCCACCAAACCATGACCAACAGCATCGGCATCGTCATCGTCATCATCATCATCATCATCATCATCATCATCATCATCATCATCATCATCATCATCACCAACATCATCTCAGACGCATTGATGCTCTCACTCCCGCTTTCCACCCCTTTGCCTATCCCCCCCGATCGTTGCCCCTGAAGGCAAGAAGCAAGAAGCCACAGCCGCCCCGGTCCTGCTGTGGAACCCGCAGGGCGTCGGCTCCAGACATCGGCGCGCGGACAAACTCGGCGGTGGAGAAACCTCCCTTTAGTAAACCACCCTGTATTTTCTTGCACAGTGTGTCTAGAGCTCCGACCACTTTATTCCGCGTCGCACACACACACACACACACACACCGCGTCCCCAGCGCCAGAGTGGGACCCCCCGCGCCGTGGCTCTCTGCCCCGAGCCCCCCCGCATCCCCAGCGCCTCAGCGGGAGCCCCGTCCACTGCCCCCTCCGCCACGAACGCTTTATTCCGCGTCGCCCCCCACCCCACCCCCGCGTCCCCAGCGCCAGAGTGGGACCCCCGCGCCGTGGGTCCTGCCCCGAGCCCCCCCGCGTCCCCAGCGCCCTAGCAGGAGCCCCGCCCACTGCCCCCTCCGCCACTAACGCTTTATTCCGCGTCGCATCCCCCCCCCGTGTCCCCAGCGCCAGAGTGGGACCCCCGCGCCGTGGCTCTCTGCCCCGAGCCCCCCCGCGTCCCCAGCGCCCCAGCGGGAGCCCCGCCCACTGCCCACTCCGCCACCAACGCAGTATTCCGCGTCGCACACACACACACACACACACACACACACACACACACTCGCCTGCGTCCACAGCGCCAGAGTGGGACCCCCCGCGCCGTGGCTTTCTGCCCCGAGCCCCCCCGCGTCCCCAGGGAGCCCCGCCCACTGCCCACTCCGCCACGAACGCTTTATTCCGCGTCGCGACGCACACCACCTCCCCCACCTCCCTCCCCGCGTCCCCAGCGCCCCAGTGGGGGCACCGCCCCGTGTCCCCTCCGCCCCGACAATTTTCTTCCGCGTCGCGACGCACACCACCTCCCCCCCTCCCCCCTCCGTCCCCAGCGCCCCAAAGGAACCTCCGCCCCGTGCCCCCCCGCTCCGAGCACTTTATTCCGCGTCGCGACGCACGCCACCTCCCCCCCCTCCCCACCTGGGATTTGGGCCCCGTTGCTGGGCCCCGAGAAGCGATGGATTACCCCCTCTTCCCCGCTCCTCCTCCACCTCCTCCTCCTCCCCCTTCCTTTTGTGCAAGAACCATGACACACGTGCCACTTGTTGAAAACGGCCTGGGACCGAAACCGACGGACCTGGACCCGCAAAAATGACGGCCGCGACGCCCTCTCGCGAACTGAGAACGGCCAATTCGCTAACCAACATGTCAGGGTAGGAGGTCTATCAACCTCCGACAAACCGCGCCAGCGCAACAACAAAAAACACCTAGAAACTACTGTTCTACAAGCTGATGGGATGGGCTGCAGCAGCAGGGCGCTAGACTTAGGTCGGGTATGTCATCCTACAGGCGGAGTTGAAAGAAATATAAAAGTAGTCGAAACAAAAATCAAAGATGGTCCAAAGAGCAGGAACACCGTCATCCGACTAGTTTGCTACTAGTCTTGACTATTCCTCCTGTAGAGGGACGTGCCCGACTTAATGCTGAACGGCTTTGACGTTGACGGCGCCGCTGGCCCTCGGCGGTCACACCGCGGGTGGATCGTCCATGTCGAATATGAGGTCCTCTCTCCCTGTTCGCGGTTGTTTTCAATCGGAGTCCGCGCTGCGCGCTGGCAAGGAACAGGCTGGCAGGTTGGAGCCGAACTCTATACACCGACGCTTTTTCGGGCCCCGCACTGAAATTCGCACAGGAGAGCGGATCCTGGCGTATAAGGGATTATGGTGTATACATGTTTCGCTGCTTCTCCTCCGTAAGACGGGGAAACGAATATACACCACACCACCTCGACGTCGTCCCCGACCCTCAAGAAGTCCTCAGATTGAAAAACAGCCAGCCACTGGCAATTCGGGGATCTTCTGACCCGGGTCGATCCAGACCCAGGTCAGCGGGTCAGTCAGACCTTGCAGAATCCTGCAAAATCCTGCAAGATCCTGCACCCAAACCCGGGTCAATGCGAAGGATCCTGCAAGATCCTGCAACATCCTGCACCCAAACCCGGGTCAATGCGACCCTGGCCCTGCAGGAGCCTGCAAGAGCTGACCCCCGTTTGCATTGACCCCCGTCTCAAGGCTCCCGAATAATGCATCTGCTTCAGCTTCCGGCGACAGAGAACCGTGCGAGGCGCAGCGCTTGCCACTGCCACCGCGCGTATGGGCAGCAGGCGCACCGGCCCTTCGGACATGATCGAGGGCCTCGCAGCGCGCGCGCGCGCGCTGAGTGCAGCCTGCGGCTCGAGCGAGGGCCTTCGGCGTCCGAAAGCCATTGGGCCATCGGCACCCTGCCTGCACGTCGTTCATTTCTAGTCGCGCTCATCTCTAACTGTGCTCGTTTCTAATTGTTCCTGGCCCCCTGGTGGCCAGGAAGAGGCCCGGGATGGAACAACTAGAACGAAACGGATCTTGGCCCCCCCCTAAAATGCAAGGAACTTCCGAAGGATTATATAGAGATGAACCATGTGTGCAGCAGCGGTGGTGGCAAGTCGGGCCGCGGCGCGCGCGAGGAACCTCCCGAGGGCGGAGCGAAAGCGACAGGCAGCCCCCCAGGAGGAGAGCCAGGACAGCCAGAGACGACGGGGAGCGGAGATACGGCGTCGAGCTCTCCAGGGTCCCCCTCCCTGGAAAGGGGCCCTGGGACACACAAATGAATAGATACAGATAACAGGATTCCCCATATTTTCCCATAGGTTCTTGGTTTTTGTCTTCCCCCCCACCTCCCATGTTTTCCCATCTCTGTGTGTGTTGTTTGTTCCTCCTGATCCCTGCCTCCCCTGGAGGTGCCCAGAGAACTCCTCCAGAGGCCCCCGAGGCCCAATACGAGGCCCCAAGGCGCCCCAGAAAACAGAGATCCTCCATCCTCGACGCCCCCCGCCACCGTCGCTCCCTCTCCAGAGGCTCCCTCCCCCGAGGACACCCGAAACCCCGAGGGGGCTCAAAGCGAACAGAAGAGAAGATGATGCTCGATCCGGCCCACCCCACCCCTCTCCACCGACGGCGCATTCTGACTCGCGGGCTTCAGCCCCTTTCCCTGGAGCCAGCTTTGCATCCCAGGCCTTTTTCTGTTGACAGTCCTGACCCCAGGAGACAGCCTCCCGAGGTAGAAGCAATGGCCCCAGCAAGCACCCCGGTAGCAGCAAAGGTGAAGGGGCCGTGCGCCAAGGTGGGAGCACAGCCATGTGCACCCACAGTGCAGTTGTTTGCCAGGGATCGAGGGCGTCGGGAGCAAAAATGCGGCCAGAAGTGTGGCGAGAGCGCGATTCTTCCACGACTGGTGGGGGAGTCTCGGGCGAGACGGTGGCAGGACTGGGCGTCCTCAGGCTCCCTGTCCCCTCTGCGGGACTCTCCTGTGGTCCTTTCCCGGAACCATGAAAACTCCCTAGCGAAACGGGATTCGAGAACAATGCATCATCAACGCCAGCAACGTGAAATTGGGACTCCTCGCTCCAATGCCCCAGCGGAGAACCTCCGGCAACGCCGCGCGCACAACGGTGGCGAGGGGCAACACGAACAGTACGCACATGCCTCTACTGTAGCACCCCGCAGTGGAGGAAAAGAGTGAGGGGGCGGACGCGGGGTGGGTCGTGGGTGGGTCGCGGACGAGTCGCTGGTGGGTCGCGGGGTGGGTCGCGGGTGTGTTGTGGGTGGGTCGCGGGTGGATGGCGGGTGGGTTGCGGGTGGATCGCGCGTGGGTCGCGCGTGGGTCGCGGGTGGGTCGCGGGAAGGTCGCGGGCGGGTCTCGGGTGCGTCACGGGTGGGTCGCAGGTGGGTCGCGGGGTGGGTCGCGGGTGGGTCGCAGGGTGGGTCGTGGGTGGGTCGCGGGTGGGTCGTGGGCGGGTCGCGGGCAGGATCGCAGGCGGGACGACGGCAACAAACAACAACAACACCAACAATAGCAACAACAACAACAACAACAACAACAACAACAACAACAACAACAACAACAACAACAACAATTACTAGCACGTGGGGACACTCCGTTCTCACCAGTGCCAGGGTTTTCATAGGAGGCGGGCAATACCCCCACTTTGTGGGGGGGCCGGTTCAAGCTCTACCAAATTTCCAAACGACTCTTCGCCACCACCCACACCCAGCTTCCCGCCCTATGACGTTCGGACACCTCACTTCGTGGCCTGCGGACGACCTTGGCTACTACACTGGCGCATGGGTACAATGACTTGTTGTGGTAACATTTTCTGTAAGCTAGCTTAGTATACGACTTTTCCCCCTGCAATTGAAGATTTCGGCGTGCGCGCGCGAAGAAAAAACGAATGTGTCCCATATGGTATTATTTGACAGGGATGATGGCCCTGGCAGGCGCGCAACCGTTGTTGCAGAAGTTCGAAGCACGTGAAAAAGTTGCTCGCAAGAGCCCGTTTGACAGAAATGTTGAAAAAGTATTGGGTTTCCTAAGAAATCCGCAAGAGCGCGCGGGATGAATTTTGAAACTTTTTGTTTGAAAAACCATTGGGTTTTTCATGTTTTTATGTTAAAATCGCTACGAAAACTAAGGTTTTGGAAGGATTTCATCTTGCGCGCGCGAGTGTGCACTTCGTGCCATTTTTTGCAAAAGGATTCTTGAAGTTTGGTTATGTTAGAACAAGACATGTCATTTTATATTGTTTTTTGACAGGGAAAGCGGGCGTCAACAAAACAACCGGATCCGGACTCCCCCGTTTTGCCTGAGACTTCCTCACGAAAATGATGAAAATGTGGCTGCGGCCTAGGCGCGGCGAGGGGGGCGTGCACCAGGGGGCCCAACAATAATTATTCTTTAGAAGTAATAATATTCAACAACAACAACAACAACAGCAACAGCAACAGCAACAGCAACAACTACAATAACAACAACCACAGCGACAACACCAAGATCCATGTTAAGACGGTTCGCTCTTATCGGCTCGCGTGCCACTCAACACGTATATCCCAAACCCTTGGTTCCCGCCCTCTTCGTCATCGGTCGTACCCCCTTGGGGTTATATCATCCTTGCCTGCCACGTGCAATGGCGCAGCCTCTGAAACAGGGGAAAAGAGGACGGATGGAAGGGGGAGGGAGCAGGATGGAGCACAGGATTAGCAGGAGATGGGGCTAGGAACAGAAAATGCGTGGCAGAACCAGATGGGCCCATCGGGAGGAAAGACCCTAACGGGCGGTTTGGGAAGGCGACGCAAGGGGCCAGGTCGACAAGGAGTGTTGCTGAAGCGTGAGTACAACAACAGCAACAACAATAGCAGCAGCAATCATCATCATCATCATCAACAACAACAGCAACAACAACAACAGCAACAGTAGCAGCAGCAGCAGCAGCAACAACAACACCAACACCATCAACAACAACAACAACAACAGCAACAACAACAACCATTACAACAGCAACAACAACAATAACACCAACAATCATAACAACAACAACCATAACAACACCAACACCAACAACAACAACAACAACAGCAGCAACAACAACGACGACGACACCAACAATAACAGCAGCAACAGCAACAGCAACAACAACAACAGCGAGGACGACAACAAACACAGCAACAGCCACAAGACTGTTTAAGAATGTTCGCCCTTATCTACTCGCGTGCCATTCAACACGTATATCCCAAACCCTCGATACCCGCCCTCTTCCTCTTCGATCTGACCCCACTTGGGGGAACATAATTCTTATCTGCAACGTGTATTGCGTACAGCCCCCCAGGACAGACGAAGAGAGGACAGATGGAAGGAAGAGACACGGGGGAGGGAGGAGGATGGAGCACGGGAGAGAACAGCAGGACGGGGGCTAGGAGCAGAAAACAGGTGGCAGAACCAGACGGGCAGATCGGACGGATAGGCCCGAACGGGCGGGTCGGGAAGGCGGGCCCAGGCGACCAGGTCGAACAGGCGAGTTGCTGAAGCGTGCGTCCTGCATGAATCGCTGGGACGTCTCCAGCGATAGCGCGATTCCCAAACAAATCGCGAGGAAATCCACAGCGAGAGCGTGATTGCCGATTGTCGACGGTGCGGCGTCTGAACAAATTGTGAGGAAGTCCCACGCGTGAGCGCGATTCCAGTATGAGCTGCGAGGGAGTTCCCCGCGAGAGCGCGATTTCAAAAACATGGGGACAGGATGCCAGGCGGGAGCGGATGTTGTTGTAAACCAGAGGCCAGGGGCCAATTTTGGTGACACCTCACTTTCCAATTGAAAAAGAAGGGTGCGAGCCCCGGGAGACGCCCATTGGTTGAAAAGTACAACGGTTGTCGCGACGGGGAGATTAACAACACTTACTCGTTATGAAAACCCAACCGCAAGAGCAACAGCAGCAACAACAACAACATACATCGTGTTAAGACTGTTCGCTTGCATCTGCTCGCGTGCCAGTCAAAACGTACATCCCAAACCCTCGGTAACCCGCCCTCTTCGTCTTCGGTCCTACCCTCTTAGGGGTATAATTCCCTTACCTACGATATGTATTTCGTGCAGCCCCTAGTAAGGCGGGCCACGGGCACAATTTGGTGACCCCTCGATCTCCCTTGTATAAAAAAGGATGCGAGCCCCGGAAAAGTACTTTAATAAAATGCCATGGTTACCTC